TCTAAAAACCTCTTTCCTTCCTTTCTGCTCACTGTTGCAAAACCCTGGCTGTATCCAAAATCTGCCCCATACCCTTATATAGTGCATTATTTGAGGGAGCAGCCGTTTGTAGTGGTCTCCAAAACACTAGTGGATGTTTTGAAGGGCACTTAATCCATCCCATAATACACCGTAATCAAGTCTACAACCCATGTACACTCAACAGTTAGAAAATACCCATAATGCACTGTGAGAGTTTGCGTGCCAAATGAATTTCCATATCGGACCACAAGATGGCATCCATAATAAAATCCGATTGTTGTAAGTTTCAAAATAATTCATTGATTTTCTTTTTGGCTTAGTCACTTTAATAATCTGGGATCGCAACAGCAGAATGAACCGCCAACTTATCCAGCATATGTTTTACGCAGCGGATGCCCTTCCACCTGCAACCTATCACTGGGAAACATCCAAACACACATATTCACACATACACTACAGACAGTTTAGCCTACCCAATTCCCCTGTCCCGCATGTCTTTGGACTTGTGGGGGAAATCAAAGCACCCGGAGGAAACCCATGCGAGTACAGGGAGAACATGCAAACTCAACACAAACATGGCAACTGACCCAGCCAGGGCTCAAACCAGCGACCTTCCTGCTGTGAGGCAATCGTGTTACCTACTGTGCCACCGTGCTGCCCAGTTTCAAAATATATAATTTAATTCAATTAATGCATACATTAAAGAAGTCAAAATAATTAGTTTCATTGCTAACAAACAGCCTGCTAAATGTTAAATAACTATCACAGGGATTGAACAAGAAGATAAAAATCTGATCTAATCTGTGAGATTTATCAATCAGTAAACACAAACAAAATGGCATTCAATCCATTCATTCACTTCTTCTAGTGGACTAATGTTTAGAACAGTGAATGAGGGTGTAGAGGCGATTTCGGATATGTCTTTCTACTCAAAACTACTGGATTTCTTAACATACAACCATTTTGAGTCTCGGGTACATCTCGAACTGGCTTTCACACCCTCTTTAAATGACCAGAGAGAAAGTCCTGTCATATCTAAGGCTTTCATTCAAGCTTAAACCCCATTTTATACTGGGACATCTTGGCGACTTACTGACAATGCAGCTCCAGAGCGGCTCGCTTTGTGAGGCTGGGCTAAAACCATCGCTGTCCAATACTGGATTAGGAACCATGGATTGGCAGGCAGAGAAAACAGCTTTTATACTTAGAGAGTAAATCGGCAACGGTTTGAGCTGAAAGATTGAAAGAAGGAGAAAGAAAGTCTGCTTATTTGTGTTTCGGACCACCACAAGGGAGCGATAATAAAAGATTCCGATATGAAACTTGAAACCAAGTTTAACATGCAAATGTGACCAGAATGTATGAAAAAAGAATTTATTAAAGCAATCTGGCTGTGAGTAAAAATGAGCAAAAGGAGAGCACACACCAGCTCAAACTATCAGCTCATTAAAGGAGCATATGTGAATTTTGTGGCCAGGAATTTGGCTATGATTTTCACTTGGCCACCACATCAGTGCAACAGAAAGAGCTGGCATTCACTCTCAGGCACACACACATACACATACACACAATAACACACTAAAACATGTATGAAGTCTCCACAAATTTATGGTTTGTATAAAAAATTTAAAGAGAATCAAGTCTCTGCCATTAATAAATAATCAAAGCGATTATAACCCTCTATCATTAAGCATTTTAAAAACCAGAATCATTTTAGGTGCCATTTTATGACCAGAATTGTTTTTGTAAACCAAACACACACTGCAACTAGTGGAGAATTAGTCAAAAATATACCATGATACGCGCAGTCCTATTGTCTTAGGTCTTTAAAAAAATCTAACATACTGATGCTGTAAAGGAGCAGTTACTGACTTACTCTAACTTGCTTGATGAACTGCTTTCATTATATCTGAAAAAAAAAATGAACCAAGGACTGCTACTTTATCAAGTCGTGCCATAAAAAGTCATTAAAAGGTCTAGATAAACACATTTTAGAAAGAAAATTCAATAAATATACAATGAAACACACAACTGAGTTATTATACTCTTCTGAAAATCCCAGAGGGCACTAAATGCAGTGAGTACTGCAATAAGTACTTCTTTATTCTTAAAAAATTCTCACAATTGCCTACTAAAAGAAATTGTTAATGGAAGCATTCAGAAGAATCAAAACAAATTTCCATCCCTCATAATCATCTAAAAAATCCTCATCTCCTCATTTGTCTCTGCAAAACAAAGCCAAACATATATGTTGCTGTGTCAAATGTTGCTATGGTATATTGACTAGCTCGACATTTTCTTTCCTCTCTTCAACAGTGAATCACAAGCTCAGAGTCAGTTTCCATATAAATGTTCATATCATGAAACAACACACACAAGAAGCAACTGCCTGCAAAAGCCTCATAAATCCAGACAGTGCAAATACAGGTACTATTAGCGAGAGCACAAATAAGGCTCATGTGCTACGTGCGCTAACACACTCGTATTACAGCCACTTATTTGTATCAGGTTCTCCAACTGCTCATCATGTCAAACATCCACAGACCTCTTGCAGAGAGAGTTCACATTTCTCACACTTCTCACACATCTGCAGACTCCTCACTCTTAAATACTGACCGAAGACCAGCATTAAACGCTCGATCTTAAAAACAATGTGTTGCGAGGTTCGAGCAGCTTGGGACGTTTTTGTTCTGCAACAGTCGGAAACCGAAGGTGTGGCTGCAGTGGATTATGAGCTTTCCCTGCATAGCATTTTTTATTGTTATTGTTTTTGGCTCAGAAGCACGGAGCACTGTAACCTTTCTCTCGTCCCACCTTCCAATCCCCCTGCTTCAGATAACACTAACCACAAAAATCCAGTGGAACCAATTACCAGTCCTCCTGATGCAGTTTGCCTTGCAAATCAGGCCTTAACCCATTCAATAGGCAGGCATGTGCAGACGCTGACACATGCAGACACTCATTTCACACTCATAGGCTTCATGCGATTTGCACTGGATGGTGTCGAATGGTCAAACAAAACTACTAATCTGCTTGGTAAAGCATGCAAAGACAGATTTTGTTTATTGCTAGGAAAAAATAAGAGGAGGGCTGGTTGGCAAGACACAATTTTAAGTGTTTTATGTATATTATGGCTAATTCACACTGCACAGACAGATGTTGAACAACAGGCACTTTGTCGGATCAGTGTGTTACTGACATGTTGCCGTTGGTCGGCCCAGTGTGAATTGGCCTTTAACTGTGCTTTGGTTGGTTGCATACTGCTCCAAGTAGAAAAGAGTAATCTTTAAAACAAAGATTAAAAAGTTTTTGCATTGATACCATACAAAGACCATTTGGGGTTCTGCAAGGTCTATAAAAAACCTGTTATAAAAATAATTTTCTCTTTGAAGAACTTGTTTGTATAATTGTTCTTCATGGAATGATACATACTTTTTAAAATGTTGTTTTATGAATATGTTAACGAAGATGTAGGTTTGGCCTATATTTTACACAAATTGAAGCTATAATATACTACAGTACCATCTTTTATAGTATAGGAGCAAGTGAAGTGATGACTATTTTAAAGCGTATGAGTAACAGCAATGGCTTTACAAGAAATAAAATCTAAGCATGTGTTCTTGTGATTTCTGAGAACAGAATTCTCACGAACATGGACATGTCTAAAAGTTACAGAACAGGAAAAAGGTGCAAACACAAAAGGCAATGTTTATGCATGGACACACAGACCTTTCTCACACCTTTTTACTGTTGTAGGTCATGTTTCACAGGCCATGAGGGTAAAAATAAAACCTGGCTGTAGATTTCACTGGTCCTTTGGAGTTTGTTCACTGTATCATTAAAACAGCATCCAATCTCTCATACTGGAAAACTCTGCACATATTTATGCATTAAACAGCTAAGCTGTACTATAAACATTGTTCAAGATTACTATAGAATAGAAATAAATTTCTATTATGAAATGTTCAGATAAACTCATCTCAAAACCAAAATAAAAGATGTACTGTATAGATAATTGCAATGCAGAAATGTCCTGCCAATTTTTAGCTTTATGTAAAATATAAAAAAGATGATTCTGGTGAGGAAATATTTGAGTTTTAATTCATAAGTCATTTTGAAATTTAATAAGTCATTAAGATCTTTTTCCTGTCAACACTAAATCCAATGGGAAAGATGTTCCAGTAAATTGGAAATACAATAGAAATGAAAGGTTAAAAATAGTATAATCAAATGTGGAACTAACATTTACATCATATATAGTCTTGCTGTTTTGGCATTTGAAAAGTAAAGCAACGATGCCACATTGTTGACATTTCTTGATTTTGAAAGGTCCCTCCAGGTAAAGTGGGCAAGTATTCATCAACATTTATACAAATTAATTCTCAAGGGACGTTTCATTCATCAATAAAAACATCTAATGTCTTTATTAATGAAGTGGAAAAGACATTTACCAACATCCATATGTAGTGTACATACAAACCAAATCAGTCTCAAGAGACCCTTCATTCATTCAGAAACACATCAGATGCCTTGTGCTGTCATATATAACAAGCTTTGACTTGTACTCTGTACCACAATCTAAACAGGCTGCAACATACGGTAGATTCTTTGGATTTGAAATACATCAAAGATGGGTCACCGATAACAAATAAACTTCCCACAGCAAGACCTATCCAACCCCACCCACATACACACACACACACATATATATCTAAAGCACTCTAGATTTACCCAAATGCACTATGACATCTATTAGAGGAGGCGTTGAAAAAGGTTCATTACACAAACTAATACAGACACACTATTGTGTTTGATTCCTCCCACACAACTTTCTATCAGCTTGCTCTTGAGGACACCTGGGTGAAGCTGAATATGCCTATATGTGACTGAAAGTCTGAAGAGATGTCACTCTCTCATCTGATAGCTTAATTTGTTTAATTTGTTGAGGATGTTGGAGGATGAGAGAGAGGAGCACTTACCGGGTGTCTACCCTGTGGGTACATGGTCAACGGAGGGATGCCGGTTTGACGGGCAATGCACTGACCCTCCGTACTCTTGCGTTCCCCCTCTACCAGGGGACTGAGCCCCGGATTGAGCTCGGGAACCCGGCTCTGTCCTTTCGGAGCCGCAGAAGACAGTCAGTGCATCCGACAAGGAGTCCTCCAAAAACAGATCCCCTTACTTCACACTTGGACTGGATTTCCCCCGAGAATTCCCTGACGTCCCACTTTGTTACTGTCCGACAGATCAGGAGAATGGGAGAAGCAGGGAATTCCGAAGAATCACGTCCAGCTCTCCTTAGACTTGTCCTTCTGCAAATGTCCCCAACAAGCTACAAAAACAAACACGTATCTCCATTCGAATCTTCCAACCTTGTAACAGTACCTCAAAACTACAGGGCTTCTTTGCAGAGGTCTAAAAAGACAAGGGAGAAGGAGGACCGGGCTTTGTTTTTAATCTAAATCTAGAGAAGAAGAAAAAAAAAACACACAGGAAAGCAGGAAAGAACAGCAGGTCACTGGAAGATCCAGCAGGCTTTTCAGCAGCGAGCCCTAGACTGTAATATATTGTGCCTGTTGGCTTCAACACAAACACGACAGCCTGCTCAAGCTGCAGTTAAGGTGGACCGGCTGAGATAGATGGAGGATAGATAGACGGAAAGATAGAGACAGAAATAGACACCAATACATGTGTGCAACCAATGATACGATTTCTTGTTATCACTGTAATCATTACACTGTGAAGTGAAGATTATGCAGACAAACCTATAAAAGTGAAAGGACACACATTAGAAATCTATTTTTCCTTGATTAATTGAAGAGCAAATTTATTTGTTTGGTTAAGTGTCTCATATTCTTTTACTATGGAAAGACCACTTACCTCAGTAATCACTCATATGTCTCTTCTAGATTAGCTCTCGTCAATTTTTCAATGTGTGCTCCAATTTGTCCAGTCTGATATCAAAATTAAAGATTTTAATATGTACTCATAATTTTTCTCATCAAATTATCTGCATTATGCTATTTACAGTTAAAACACAAATATACATGCAATGTATTTTAAGATTTGTTTAACATAACTGTTTACTTACTGTGTTAAGTTGTCTCATTTGGCTCTCAACGTATTCTTCCCTTATTTTGAAAAACGTTCACAAGCAAAACCTGTAGGCTAAAAGGGGGATAGTTAACTTAAAAATTAAAATGTGCTCACTGTTTACTTTGTCAAGTGTTTTAAAGCCTTTATGAGTTTCTTCTGTTGAACATAAAAGAAGATATAGTGAAGAAAGCTGAATACCTGTAATCAAGGACTTCCATAGTAAAATTTGTAATGGTTATAAGTGTCCAGCTTTCTTCAAAGTGTCTGCTTTTGTGTTCAACAGAAGAAACTCAAAGGTTTGGAACAAGAAAATGTGATTAAATGATGATATTTTTGGGTGAACTATCCCTTTAACCGAGATCACAAATAAGTCTCTTAAGCTTTGAAAAGAGCAAGCTCTGCGCATTTAAACATGATAAAACAAAGGATCTAAAAAAAAAAAAAAAAAAGAATGAAAGAGAGATGAGGAATGAGCCAATTTGCCAGCAATTCTGTGAAAGCACCATGTGTGTCCATCCCCATATTTGCACGTACGCCTCCAACAGATGAGCATTTATCTGCACTTTGAGAAATAAATCGGCAAATTTAGTTGTGATCGTATCATTTATGATTTGATTTAATACAGAGCAAGCTTACTTCGCTTGTTTATGTGGCTGAAAAGACACACAAACCCCTACTAGACTAGTATCGTTCTCATCTCTTCATCTTTCTCTTGGTCTCCTCTGTCATCCTAGCGTGATCTCAGAGGTGTCCCTTGTTAGTCATCTCTCTGTCTGCGACACCTCTCAGGTCAGGGATTGCCCTAATCGCCGTTATCTAATTGTGCGGATTAGAAAGGTAATTATTCACATGACTCTCTCCCTCTTACTGATACGTGATGAAGCTGGCTGAGTACAAACAGACAGGAAAATGACCGATGGGTCTTGACAATAATCTGGCCTTAGATAGACGAGCTTCTGCATCCTGGAATGGGTAAAGGGTAAGCAGGCTTAACATAGGATCTGAAATAAGACAATAGGAAAAGAAGAAGAGGAAGGACTGGGTAAGGCATCACAATTGCTGCATTTTTATTTTATTTATTTATTGCCAACATCAGGAACTTATGGCTATTTCATGGAAGAATAAATATATACATAAAAATATTATATGATTAAAATCAAATTCGTATTACAATAAAAAGTTATTTAGACAAAAATAAAAATGGAAATAATATACAAAAATGTATTAAAAGTTAAATATTTTTTTTTTGTTAAATTTTTGATAAATAACTTAACATTCTTCTGGGTGAATTTTTAAAAATGTCCATTAAAGTACTCTCCTTATAAAAAAAAATTCTAATAATATTTTAACTTCCACATTCCAACAAAACATGTTTCATGATAAGAGCAGCTTAGCAGTTATTACATTTAGGTCATGCTGTCCAATTCAACATCTAGTATAGACCAGGGGTGCCCAAACTCGGTCCTGGAGGGCCGGCGTCCTGCAGATTTGAGCTCTTTCTTGACTCAACACACCTGCACGGATGTTTGTAGAAACCCTAGAACTTAATTAGCTAGCCTAGGTGTGTGTGATTGGGCTTGAAAGTAAACTTTGCAGGACACCGGCGCACCAGGACCAAGTTTAGGCACCCTTTGTATAGACAGTCTGTTCATGCCTGGTCTCAAAATTATAATTTGCAAAGTGTCTTTCATTTATTTCTGGGCTAATTTCGTGAAATTTATTATTTATGCAGTTGTCCCATTCCCTTTGCCATGTTTCGTTTATATACAGATTAATTGTAGGTTTCAGGTCATCAGAAGGAATTAAACATTGTCACTTTCAAGGAGATATGCTGCTCAATCTGCAAGTTTCCATGAAGTCAGCTGCATTTTTAAATACCAGTACTTTATTTGATTTGAAGTTATTCTGGCTTTTTAACATTTCTGTCCCATATATGCACATAAACACGCAAACAAATATGCTGTACACTAGGAGAGGCAGTAGAGAATATTAAAAAGCTCTTTGCATGTACATTACTCCTAATAAAAACAAACAAAGCTAATGCTACTCATGTTTATGTTTCAGTAACATAAGTAGGACTAAGTAGGTACATTTACATATTTTTATCCTATTTCTAACTACATACAGTTGAAGTCAGAATTATTAGCCCCCCTTTGAATTTATTTTTCTTTATTAAATATTTACCAAATGATGTTTAATAGACCAAGGAAATTTCAACAGTATGTCTGATAATGTTTTTTCTTCTGGAGAAAGTCTTATTTGTTTTATTTAGGCTAGAAAAAAAGCTGTTTTTTTATTTTTTAAAAAACATTTTATGGTCAGAATTATTAGCCCCTTTAAGCTATATTTTCATCTATAGTCTACAGAACAAACCATCTTTATACAATAACTTGCTAAATTAACCTAACATGCATAGTTATCCTAGTTAAGCCTTTAAATGTCACTTTCATCTGAATAGAAGTGTCTTGAAGAATATCTAGAAAATATTATTTACTGTCATCATGGCAAAGATAAAAGAAATCAGTTATTATAAATGAGTTATTAAAACTATTATGATTAGAAATGTGATGGGAAAAATCACTGTTAAACAGAAATTTGGGTAAAAAATAAACAGGGGGGCTAATGATTCAAGGGGGTTAATAATTCTGACTTCAACTGTACTATGGTATAAATGGCTTGTCATTACCTTGATGAGCACAATTTTCCACAATAAATCGAGTTTAGCATCTCATATTTGATCCAGTGCAGCACCAGATGGGATTCGTTCCCAAACAATGTCATGAAAACATTTCTTGTCCTAATAAGTTCAAAATAAAAAGAAAACACATTAGTAGCAGGTGGACATATACTGTACCATATTACAAACTGTATTTGTAGAAAGCCATTAAACCGTATCTGAGGCGAGAGTCCTGTCAGCTTTTAAGCGGGAAAATAAGGTGGAAAAAACCAACCACGATGTCGCGAAATAAATAATTTTAATGACTCCACTATTTATTTGTGTTTAATACATAAAACACGCTATTAAAATATCAAGAGAGTGAATTACATGAGATAAATCAGACCCCTCACCTTTTCTCCAGACCACCTTAAAACTTCGCGGCTGTCGAGCTGTCTCCAGCGCTACGCTGATTGGCTGTAACGACCCATCCGTTCCATCCAATCAAACCAGCAGGGACCCACGTTGGAGCTTGACATCGAGGCAAGAACCAACCAATGGCAGCGTTTGCGTTCGCTGGTTGGCTGGGGTGCGTGAGGAGGGCAGTGTGCAGTCTTCAGGGATTGTGGGCATTGAAGTTCCAATTATTCCGCACCCCCGCCGCTCGCGCCCCCATCTGCCAATCACGCAGCAGAAATGATCACCTATGACTGCAAATGAAAAATGATCAACATGTAGCACCTAGTGTCGACTGCCTCGAACAATTAGTCGAAATAACAAATAAACACTCTCTTTATTTGGTGAGTCATGGTGGCTCTATGATAACCTTGTAAATTAATGAGCAGATTGCTTATTAAACAGATGAAAATTCTGTCATCATTATTCTGTCATGCTGTTCCAGACCTTTATGACTTTTTCATCTGTGCAACAAAAATAAAGAGAATCATAATAGCTCTCATCTTTATTATTTTCCACAATACTGTTTTGTTAGGTTAGATGGTTTGAACATCTAGTGCACTGTAAATAATACAGTGAAGATAACTCGGATAGTATTGAGGGCATTTGGGGGACTTTATATTGTACTTTTTAGCTACAAAAGCCTAATATTTAAAATATTTAGAGTTAAATTAGATATACTCCACAATAAAATAAAAACAACATAATAATTAGCCTACTACATTGTAAGGACTTAAATATTTAATATAACATTTGTATATTTTAAAATGTGTATACATATATACATACATACATATATATATATATATATATATATATATATATATATATATATATATATATATATATATATATATATATATATATATATATATATATATATATATATATATACACACACACACACACACACACACACACACACAAACAGTTGAAGTCAAAACTATTGGCCTCCCCTTAAATTTTTTCTTTTTTTGATATTTCCCAAATGATGTTTAACAGAGCAAGGGAATCTTCACAGTATGTCTGATAATAGTTTTTTCTTCTGGAGAAAGTCTTACTTGTTTTATTTCAGCTGGAATAAAAGCAGTTATTAAGTTTTTAAACATCATTTTAGAGTCAAAATTATTAGCCCCTTTAAGCTATATATTTTCCTTTGATAGTCTACAGAACAAACCATCATTATACAATAAATAGCCTAATTACCCTAACCTGCCTAGTTAACCTAATTAACCCAGTTAAGCATTTAAATGTCACTTTAAGCTGTATAGAAGTGTCTTGAAAAATATCTAATCAAATATTATGAATTGTCATCATAGCAAAGATAAAATAAATCAGTTATTACAAATGAGTTATTAAAACTATTA